CTAGGCAATCTGCGGAGAGTCAGCCCTCAGGAGTACGATGACGCTCCTGGGCTCAAGTTTATGGAGTGTCGTTGCGGCATTAGTTGTCGACTTGCCCCAGAAGTCGCTTGCTCGATTTCCAAGGCATGCACACTTCATCACCCCCAGGGCAGGATACTGCAAAGTAGTGTGTGTGTGTGTATATGTATATGTCTCTACACATAGAATAACATGCGTTTTATGTACTAGAGTAGGGTACTAGGGTTACTACGAGTAACACCTCGGCCTTTCATTATACGCTGCGTGATTTGCTGCAAGAAGCAAGGCTCTGATCTTCCACGTTCGAGACCTGATCACTGAACAGGCAGAAGAGGCCGAGCTTCTGTGCCTCAGCTGCCTGTTTTAATCCCTTCTCCATGCCCGCTACTTTGGTAGATGAACCTTGCATGAGCCCTAGGTATTGGCGCAAGATCTGCTTGTCAGTGACAATGAGCTTTCAAAAGCACGACTCGCCTTTGGATGCCTTCATTTGCAATGCCCGTGCCTTAATAAGACTGACTGAACTATCTCTTACGGACACAGTGCATGCCGAGTCTGCAAGGTCAACCTCCGCAATGAGAGCCTGGACAACTACGAGGCCGTGTTTCGGTCCGGCGCGCAACGTGTGCTGGAGTTGATGATCTTCAAAGGCCGGATGGAGACTCAGCTTGGCAAGACAGGCCAGGGCTTGAGTTCGACAGAAGTGTTCGATCTGTGGAAGACGCGAGTGCCGGACTCCAAGAGCCTCCTTGCAGAGAAAGTCGATGCCGACTTTGTGGCGGATAGTGTTCGGGTGTATAACAGGCTTCTCTGCACGCCGGCGTTGCGTGAGATAGTGTTCGACATGGAGAACTTGTACNNCTGCTCTGACCAAGGTGGTGGCCAAGGCTGACCCTGTGCGCTGGACGCTTCAGTGCGTGCAGGACCTCTGTCAGCGTGGGCTGGTGCATCCAACAGCGATCACGCCTGCCTCGCTCGCAGCCAGATTGCATATTATGTAAGCGCACGTTTTCATGGAGGCCCGTTGTATCTTGATTTGCTGTTTCCAAGGCTCCGCAAGGCAGCGGGAAGGGTGTCATTCACCTTTTCAATTTCAAGCACGAACTGAAGCTCCATCTGCTGGGACCTTTCTTAGAGAGTCTCCCTCTGGAGCCGTATGACAAGGACTGTATCAAGTTGTGGTGCGCGGACCACCCCAGCTTCCGCAAACATGTGCTGGCAGAAGACCAGATGCAGCAGCAGTCCATGCTATCCGACACTTCGCGTCTGTTCTTGACGACCATGAAGGCAACGACCAAAAACCGGCTATGCATGCATGACACTTGTATGTACGTATTACTAGGTGGACACACTCATATGCACAAGTAGGTTCCGCTGAGAATGTCTCCATGTGACAGGCGACCGTGTACGGCACCAGTTCGGATCAGCACCTCAAGTCGGCGATCCGCGCAACTTCTGTGTTGAAGGACGTCTTGCTGCAGTGCGCCCATTTGTCTGACATGCTGGACGAGGTCACGAAGCTTGCCGAGAAGGAGTTCAATATCCCCAAGGCAGCTGCAGTGGAGGACACCTCGGCGAAAAAAACCGACACAGGTGCCTTCAGCCTCGTGGAAGAAATTGGGCAGAAGGTCGTGGATGTGGACGAGGAGCACGAGCTGGAGCAGTGGAAGGCCTGAAGGGCTAGTACTTCAGTAGTCAGTTTTCGTGCAGCGGTCAGCGTTAGCTTGTGAAAAGATTTGAAACAGTGTCGGGCTACCTGCGCAGGAGCTTGTCCAGAACAAGTGTGACACGTTTCTGAAGTTTGTTGTGGACCGCAGCGACAGCTTCAAGGATTTGGCGGAGGATTTGAAATCCACAATCCTGCCCACCCTGGAGCCCTACAAGCCGGATGATCCGCCGAAAAACCATGGCCATGTGATGCTGCTGATGGATACGAAGATCATGGGCGAATCCAACACCCAGGCGCACTGTCGACTGCCTGTCTTTCAGGATGCCAGGATGACCAGGTACGTCCATGCTTTCCTTGCCGCCCGCAGTCGCCCGGAAGACACGTCCGGAGAAACTTGGCATGAGGATTGATTCGTGTTAAATCGCAGTGCGAGTTGGGACAGGCGGGGAATGCCTCGCCCCTATGGCCTAAGGAAGGGAAACATGTGGAGATGGTGCCTGGCGAGGCGATCGCCGTCCTAGACGGCGGCCGCAAGGGGATTGACCGCGATGTCCTCAAGAGCCTGACCAACAGTGTAAGCGGCAGGGCGCTGACGAGGGTCCGCAACGACTACCTCATGATCTACACCGAAGAAGGATTGAGCGGGAGACGCGAGCGAGTGCGAGGCATCATCAACCAAGTGGAGACCCTGTCCGTCTTCACATTCAATGGCATGGTCATGGCAAAGCGGAATTCCAAGCACTACTCAGGCTCCAATTTTGGAAACATCATTGGTCCTTGCTCTGTGATGTCCTACGATGACAAGGACCTCTGGCTCCTCGACCCTGCTGCAAAGAAGGCACTCTATGGGCCAGGGAACAAAACATTGGCCGGAGGCTCGCTGCCGGATACCCCACCGCGGCCACATGTCGAGGGCGGAGAACCAGCCAGCTGGCATCTGACACACAAGCATGTGTGGGAGGAGATGGTGC